AGCAGATTTCTAAACCCAAGTTTTTACGGGACCTGAACTTGAGGTGCCCTCTAATAAATGTTAATAACTCCAGTCATGTGTGTACAATGTAGAGAGGGTTAGCAAAGATATTCTACAGTGACCTCGAGTTTGCAAATTGGCACTGCTCTGTCAGTATCTAAATGACACTATTAGTATTGGCACAACTCTAGTTCCTTCCTCCACGTGACCGAAGGCTCAACACCAGTGCCTTTAGACCTGCAGGTACAATTTGAACCTGACTCACACAAGTCAATTTTGCTCTTCTGTCTAAAAGGAAAAGGGAGGTGGAAGGTGGCAGTGTTGGGGGCTGGCTTACATAGTGGACGAAAATAGGCATTCATTACCTCATGCTGGTAGAAGAGACAAAAACCAAATTATTCAAATGGAGGAGAAAGCAACACATAAATTAAATCAGAATAATATTGGTTCAAAAACTATTAGGTAAAGTTACCTTTGACTGTTTTCTACTATTCAGGAACTATAGAGTCCCCCTTAAACCTGCAAACTCTACCCGTATCCTCTACTCACCCCCCTTTGAGCTCCTTTAAGAAGGTGTCTAGGCTCAGGATCTTAAACTAATCTCTCCCCTCTGTTGAGACAGCTGCTCACTAGCTTTAGCATGAAGCCCTCAGCTCTGCCCACAGGGAAGCAGCTACCCCTTTATTTTCTATCGCAGCATCTTGCTTACTTCCTCTAGTCTTTTCCTCTGTTTACTCCAGGTTTCAGGAGTGCAGGGGCCCTGCATTATCACTGCATTTAATACCTAGGCCCAGTGCCTGGCTCAGAAGGAAATCAATAAAAACATTTTAATGAGTAAATGATGCATCTGAGAAAATGAAGGCTCCAAAAGATTAAAGTAACTCATCCAAGTTTTACAGCTTGTTCAGGGTAGATCATGGGTCTAACAGGTGCCAGTCAAAATTTGTCCCCTAGAATTTACAGTGCTGCTTTCCAATTCATTGGAAGAAAGAAAAGCATTCTCTTTACCCAGTGATAATGGGGACAAACAGAAGCCAGGAGGGAGTCCAGAAGAGCCTGAAAATGCCATCAAGGACAATCACAGAAACCAGCTATTAGATGCATTGCGTGAAGGCAGTAATCCTTCTGCAGGCCTCTTTGTGCTTCCACAATGCATTCTCAGTGCATCTGTTAAAGCCCTGGAGTAGAATGTTGTCATCGGAGCTCTGGATAAACCTGAAAGACAACAGTCCCTGGGAAATGTCTCCTGATTCAGAGTCCCACGACAAAGAGAGACATCAAATTGGTCCTATAGTGAAATGCCTCAGGAGGGGACAGAGCTAGTGCTAACCCTACCAGGCAGAAATTAAACTTCTATGAGAAAAAATGTGCCCCAAACTAGCTTTGTAAAGTATGTGGAGGAGTAAAGGGAGCAGCGACACAACTGTATTCCAATCAACCTCAGTTTAGCAAGGAGGCAGTAACACATTAGGGAAGAAAACAGAACAGTATTGAAAACAGCTGACATTTATTTAGCACTAATTCTGCCCACATCCTGTTCTAATTACTCATCATCAATGAACTCTATCTTTGCAAACACCTATGAACCAGATACTATTAATGGCTCCAATTTATACAAATGGGAAATTCTCAGTATTTGAAGCGGGGATTCAGAATCAGAGATGGAGTCCAGCATGGCAGGTTCAAAGCAAGCAAGACGTGGTCCCTTCCTCCTTCTCACCACCTGCAGACTGAGAAATGAAGATAATGACCCCCATCCCATAGGGCTATCTTGAAGATTATGCGTAGGGCACCCTAAATAAGTGCTTAATAAATGGTAGTTCTCTTTCTCCACATTAAAAAATTTATTTAATCTGTACGTGTATCAGTGTTTTGCTTGGTGCACCATGTGCATGCAGCACCTAAAGAGGTCAGAAGAGGGAGTGGGATCACCTGGAACTGGAGTTAGAGACAGCTGTTGGCTGCCAAATGGGTGCTGGGAACCAAATTCCAGACTTCCGCAAGAGCAGTCAGTTCTCTTAATGGCTGAGCCATCTCGCCATCCGTGCCCCCCCCCACAGTCCTTTCTTTTAACACATTATTTGAGCAGTTGCATTTTCTCTGTCCCTTGTCCCTGCAGAACCCCAAGCGAATTAATTATTTTTCCCCAGGAAACTACAGATTTGATTTCCAACTAGATTTTGTGTAATTCGTAGTGTCTTTCTGTGGGGGCAGGAATGTACTCATACATGATATAACTGGCAGCAAAAACATCTGGACCAAAGCCAAAAGAGTGGGAAACACAGTAACAATTTGGGGGGAGGAATCAGAATCAGGGGAGGGACCATTTTCTCCTCCTCTCTTGGGCTCCTTGTCAGCAGACTTCAGGAATGTCATCTGATGAGGTGACAGAAATAGCAGAAAACTGTCAATTCAAACCAAAAACGGTGCCCCCCATCTCTTTTAATTCTAGCAAGATTTTTGAGTTAAACACTTTTCTCAAGGACACAGAGTAAAAAGAAAGCTGGGATTTAGATACAAATCTGACAGATGCCACTGTCTTCTCCCAGTCACCAAACAATGTGACCAATGTAGTATTTGTTAATTAGTGAGACTACACAGAAACAGCTGGCTTCACCACAGTAGCGTCTTTTGGTAGGAAATAAAAGGGGAGAGAACTTATTTTTCATTTGAGGCATACTGTCCAAGGTCATATAATTCAGTAAGCTGATACCTTCATCATCCTCACAATCTCCCAACAGGATACCATTGCACAGCAGCAAAATACAGGAAGGCAGAAATAGGACTTGTCAAAATGCCTACTGACATGGTGATCACAGACAAACCCAAGAAGAGCTCTGTGGCAGGAGAAGGGAGCATATAAAAGTCATTCTTTGACTAAAATTTACACATGGTCGGAAATATTCCCTCTAGGGGCTGGAGAGATGGCTCAGCAGTTAAGGGCACTGGCTGCTCTTGCAAAGGGCTGGGGTTCAGTTCCCAGCACCCACATGGTGGCTAACAACCATCTATAACTCCAGTTCAGGGGATTCATTGCTCTCTTCTGGCTTCCATAAGCACTGCACACACAGGTGCACTTACATACCTGCAGTCAAAACATGCATACACATAAAGAAATATTAAAAAGAAAAACATTCACGCTCAGAATCGGGACTGATCTAATTTTCTACCTCTGTATCTTTAATGCCCAGGACAGTACATGCAAGAATGTTGGAATGAATCCTGAATAAATGAGTAACAGTTGTAGTAATAGTTCTTACTCTCCTTGTTTCTGTGAAAAAATATCTAACTCAAGTAAACTTAAGGGAGGAAGGACTCCTTTTGACTCCTAACTTGTGGGCAAACACCTCATCATGGCAGGAAGGTGGTGGGACCATGAGGCAGTCAGCCCCACCATATGTGCAGTCACAAAGCGGACAGAGATGAATGCTGGTGCTCAGCTGCCTTCCACATTCCTTTCTTCTCATGCATTCTGGACCTTAGCCCATAGGATGATGCCACTTGCATTTAGGGTAGGTATTCCTTTCTCAGTTAAACCTTCCTGGGAATACCCTTAGAGATATAAGCCCAGAGGTGTCTTCTAGGTGATTCTAAATCCAGTCAAGCTGACAATGAACATTAACTATTACAGACCAGTGGTAAGGACTCACTGGTCTCAATCTGTGAAAAGATTTCCTGTATCATCTGGGTAGCTGATGACAGCTGGAATGAGAAGCATGATGGGAGCCTCAGATGACTCACATGGTTCTTCAGGGAAAGGGACAGAGATGGCAAAACAGCTCAAGTTCCACAAACAGCAAACTTTAAGATGTATGCAGTTATCTCCTAGGAAGGAGTGTGCTAAGTGCCTTCTGTGTCCAGGGTGACACTGGCAAGATGGCAGGACCAGTATCCACGGGAATTGCCCAGAAAGATAACAGGTTCTGTAGGGTGAGAGAGACTATCAGGGCCAAGTAGCCCAAGGCACCAGGGACTCATGTGAATTTCCCACTATGCCAGGTAACAGTCAAGTTCCTCAGTTTCTTCAAGTTTGAAATTCCAGTTAGGATGCCATGTAGGCTACTGGGATGACTGAAACGTAGGAAAGCTGCACGCCTTGAACTGGAACAGAATGAACCAACTCCTCATCTCGACTATCCTAGGCCAATCATCCCAGCCTCTCAAGGACATCACTGGTCCCAGAATACTGAAATTTAACTGTGCTTTTCCTCTAAGCTGAGGTCACTGGGTTAAGCTGCAGACACATTTTCAAAGATTCTTAATATAAAGTCTGCCATTTCCACTTCTGTGTAGTACATTCTATCTTTGAGAATTCAAAAGATTTTTAATATTTTTTAAAAATATTTGTTATTTTATGTGTATGAGTGTACTGCCTGAATGTATGTACATGCACCCGTGTTATGCAATGCCTGTGGAGGTCAGAAGAGGGATTAGGATTTCCTGGAACTGGAGTTATGGATGGTGGTTAGCTGCCACGTTGGTGCTGGAAACCAAACCTGGGTCCTCTGCAAGAGCAACCAGTGCTCTTAACCTCTGAGCCATCTCTCCAGCCCCTCAAAAGATATTTCTGCTAGTTTAAGAGGGACAAAATAGAAACACCTTGTTTCACAGTGTACCCTGACAACCAGCTTGACTGAGAACTTCTGTATACATCATCATGTTTCCTACTTACACTTTCAATCAGAAGGCAGTCTCTATTATCTTTGTAATTCAGAAAACTAGGCTTTTCAAAGTAACAACCAATGATACTTCCCCAAAATAGATTACAAAATTAAACCCTACCTTACTTAGATTGAGAACCTCTCCCGCCCCAAGTTTCTGCTGGATATGCAGAACAATGCAGACCACCAAAGGACAAGATGAAACTAATGTCCTGAATGATGCAACCCAAATTCAAAGGGTATTTTGGTAAAAGTTCCACGCTGGTTGCATCACCTGATTTGCTCACTAGTTTAGGAGGCCAGAAAGTATGACGGGGGGATCGCTGCTGGCACACTTACAGTTGCATGTGAGATGGTCAGGATTCCATTCTTGACGGCGCACTTCCTTCTCTGCCACACTTTCCGGATTCTAGGTGGCAAGTCAAAAAGAATTAGACATGGCATGTCATTCGATGTGGGGTGTGCAAACATGTGGTGGGAGGCAAAACAATCATTGTGAAAAGCAGTCCCCAAATAAACCTAATCTCCTTTCCTCAAAACAAACAAAACAGAAAATTCCAGTTGTTTGTTATTAGCCCAGATGAAAGGAAATTTAGGAAGTAGGATGTATGAAGGTCAAACAAACTCTGATAAGAGATGGAGGAATGAATGAATGAGTTACCACACAGAAGTCTACCTCTCTGGGAAGGGGTTCCAGAGCTATATTAGGGGGTGGTACTAATTAGGAGTTCTTAACTAGAACTGTGAATGTCTTATGAGAAGGTTGTTGGTATTACTTCCGTAATTAATAATAGATTAAAAAATTAAGGTATCTTCCATGCAGGGAAAAGTCAGAGACTGCCTCAGGGTATAGAGAAAAGAGCTTAGGATACAAATGGCAAGAATTACCATGCTGGGTGTGGTGATGCACACCTTTAACTCTTGCACTCAGGAGGCAGAGGCAGAAGGATCTCTCAAAGGCCAGCCTGGTCTAGTCTACATACCAAGTTCCAGGCCAGTCAAGGTAATATAGGGAGACCTTGTCTCATATACATACACACATACATACATACACACACACACACACACACACACACATACATACATACACACATACACATACATACAAATAAATAAATGGGGATTTGTACATCTTCCTTTTAGGGAATCTGAGTCCTCTAAAGAACTATCTCTGATTTTTATGGGAAAGTAAAATCTGGCCGAACTATTCCCAAATGGCTGTGACACACTTTGAAAAATGTGATCTGATGGTGCTGAAGAATGGAAAACACTAAGCAGCTCATTTCAAAGTGTTTTGATGAAGCCCTAGGCACAGAAGACTCCATGTGGGCACACACACACACACACACACACACACACGCACGCACGCACGCGCGCGCAGCTGCACTGAGTGAGACAACGGCCATCAGGTCTACAGGAACAGGGATACCCCTAGGCAGGAGGATGGTGCAGGCCTTCTGTTGCCATAGAAACAGCAGCATCAGTGCCACTGAAGCTTTCCTAGGCCCATAAAACAGCATCTTATCCGCCTATCCCCACTTCTTAAGCAAATCTTTTTTTTTTTTTTTTTTTTTCGGTCTTTTTGAGACAGGGTTTCCCTGTAGCCCCAGCTGTCCTGGAACTCACTATGTAGACCAGGCTGGCCTCAAACTCACAGAGATCCACCTGCCTCTGCCTCCCAAGTGCTGGGATTATCGGCGTGCGCCACCACATCTGGCCTTAAGCAAATCTTTTAAGAAAGATTAAATGATTAAAAAAACAAAAACATCCCATGTAGACAACACTGTCTTGTGTATTAACTACTAGCAGCAGTTTGCTCCAAAGCATGCCACACAGAGGGATGCTGCGCAGGGGGAAGTGAAAATCCAACACCATTTGTGGTGGTTTGAAGGAGGAATGCCCCCCGTAGGCTCCAAGTATTTGAAAACCTGGTCCTAGGTGCTGGTGCTGCTGCAGATGTTTAAGAGGTAGGGCTTGCTGGAGGAAGCACGCACAGGTGGACTTTCAGAGCACACAGTCTTGCCCACTTCTGGTGTTTCTCTCTCTGCTTCCAACACATGCTTGAAGATGTGAGTGCTCAGCTCTGCCTCCTGGCATGCCTCCCTGGCCATGGTGAACTCAAGCCTCTGGAACATTAAGTCCAATAAACTCCTCCTTCTATAAGTGGCCCTGGTTACGGTGTTTTATCACAACAACAGAAAAGTAACTGCTATAGAAGATGGTACCAGAGAGCAGACTGTTGCTGTGAAGAACCTGACCATGTGGGTTTTTGGAGACTGCAGTTCCAGAGGGGAGCAAGGAATGAACAATTGGGTATTTTGACTAGGACTCTGGCTGTCTTCTATGTGCAGCCCAAGACCTTGCCTCTGGGAAAATTGAAAAGTAATGCACTAATTCCTTTGGTGGTAGAAATTTCAAGGTAGCCTAATGTTGACTGGTGGCATAGTCATTAATGGTGAGTATCATGCCAATCTACAATGAAAAAAGTAAGAGGGGCAGAAACAAAACGTACCATTTGGAGAGGAAACGAAGGCTAGGAAGTTTAATGTGGCAGCCACAGTGTGTGTTGGAAGAGAGGATCTCTTTGCTAAGGAGGCTAGAGCCATTAAGGAGAGGTTTCTATATTTCTACTTGAACAATAGAGAGACTGCCTGCAGAGCAAGGTCCCACCCAGCTAAGCTCCCAGCTTGTAAAAGGAGAAAGTCTAAGGGATTTTTTGCTTCTAGAAAACAACAATATGCAAAAAGCTGATGGTAATGTGTTGAAGAGGCCAAGGTCCAACCCTGGCTGTCAGGCAAAGTTGCAGTAGCTTTAGAGGAATGAAAGACACAAGAGTGAGGGGGCTGTTGGTTCTTCTTTAGTTTCAGAGAGCTTCTGAGGCCAGGCGTGGATGGTAGGGCGTCCCTGCCATAAACAAGGCCCCAATAGGCCACTGCATGAAGCTATGAAGGGAAAGCCTGGTTGGTAGCAGAGACCCCAAGATACTGGAGACAACAGAGATATGAGATGTCTGCCAAGAAGATCTGCATAAAGGGAGTAGAACCAGCCCAAGAGAGAAATGTATGATGCAGGCAGCAAAGCTGGAGGGGCTGAGTCATCTAAGCCCTTCAGAAGTAAAGTCCAAGACACTGGACCTGAAGCTACTGGATTTGGTTTCTGCCCTGCTGCTTTTCAGTCTTGCTTCACTCCAGTATTTCCTCACTGTGCCCCGATTCCTCCCTTTCGGAGGGAATGTACATTCAGCTCCACCATATGCTAGAAGTATATGCTTGGATTTTTCATCCTGTAGGGACTTACAGTTAATAGAGTGCATTGCGACTCAAGAGACTTTGGACATTGGAATTCTGAATACTGCTGAGATTGTTAAAAGACTATGGGGACTTTTAAAGGTGACATAAATGCATGAGCTTATGGGGGCCAGGGAGTAGAATGTGGCAGTTTGAACCGAAGTGTCTCCCACAGGCTCCAAGTACTCGCCCCAGTTTGTAGCACTCTGCAGATATTTAGGTTTGAGAGGTCTTGGTGGAGGAAGCCTGTCACTGGGGGCAGGCTTTGGGAGTGCATAGCCATGTCTCATTTTGAGTTTCTCTCTCTGCTTCCTCTGTACACTTAAAGATATGAGCGCTCAGCTTTTTGCTTTGGCTGCCTCCTGCCATGAGGGGCTCTTATCCCTCTGAAACTGTAAGCCAAATAAACTCTTCTGTCTATAAGGTGCCTTGGTGCTAGTGTTCTGTCAGCAACAGAAAAATTACTAATACGCCACTTGACCGGATGCAAATGGCACACATTATATACAGAGTACACATCTCCTGAGGAGGTAATTCAGAACCAGGAACTCAGAGATTGTCCTCAAATCACAGCTAAATCATAAATACTTCTTTCTGGAACTACTGACTAGGAACAAGTTTGATTACAGGTACTATCTGTCAATGATACATCCATTTGGTTCATATAATCAGCTCTAGCAAGTTTTGTATCTCATCTTACTGTCTCAAGAGCCTGTTAAGATGGACGGATGAGGCACTCCTAGGCACTGTCACCCTCCTCCACCAAGAATAAACTGCAACCCTGGAGGAAAGGGTCCTATTAGGTTGATTCATTTTACTGAATTTATTAGCTTTTCTTGCTCATGTGTATGAAAAATACACACACAAAATACAACACAAAACAAAAACCTATATTCTCTTGCACAGAAAGAAAATTAAGACAAAGCCCTCATCTTTCTAGTTGATAGGATTGCCAATGAACTGCTTCCAAGTCACCAGAGGAAGGAGAAAAACTCAGGTGCCCTGCTCTCTGCACAGGTGAGAACAGCAGCACCTGATCACTGTGAACACTCTGACAGCACTTTCTTCTTAGAAATGGGCCTTATACAACTAAATCAGTTCTGATGCTGTTGGCACACGTGGGCAGTTTGTCCTTATGCCATCACTCGGCTGACTTCCAGCAAAGTTATGTGACTTTGCTCATGTTATCTGACCTCTCAGAGACTATCTGTATCATGAAGATAATACTGGCCACCTTCTGGAATTTTTTGGATAATACATATAAAGCAGCTGATCCGCTGCCTCTTAGTGACCTTGAACCACAACAATTTTAAGTTATATAAAATTTTAAATTGCTTTTCAAATTTTATAACAATCTTTAAGTAATAAGGAGTATTTCAAAATTTGGGTCAGAAAATACGCAAATGAGCCTTGTAAAAAGAATCACACAGTACACTAGCACCTACTGTTAACCAAGAATTCTGTCTTCACGGAGAAGGACTGCAGTATTTTCTCTTCCCTGGAAGCCATCAAAAGCAACTCTGGGTTACCATTATTCACTGTTCTCCTGTAACGATGAAGGTGGGAACACCTGCTTTCCTATTTTTCAACTCTAAAAGGCTTTTTCTTTTCCTTCTCGTTCCTTCAGGAATTGAACCTAAGGCCGTGCATGCGCACTCGACCACTGAGTCACGTCCCTGCCATCATTCTTTATCTCTTACCAACACACAGCAGGTCATGTGAGGGGAAAGGCTGCATTTCCCTTACTTTTTAACCTTCTAGCATCTAGCAGACTACTTTGGATGCTGGAGGGTTTGATGTATGTGTGCAAAAGGTGTAAAGAAAAAAAAGACCAAAAGGAAGAGGAGTTGGGGCAAGTTTATGCCACTTTATGTTTGGACTATGCCCACAGTGGCCCTTCTGAAGTATGAGAGGAGACATCTGATGCAAGTCAGAAGGCTCAGGTTGAAATTGGGGCTCTTGCACTTACTGTGATCCCAGTCAAGTTAATCTTTTAAAGGGTGTGAGGAGATGAGAAGAGGTGTCTGGAAATACGACGGTGCTCACAGAGATGATTTCTGGGTCTAAATAAGCAATACTTATGAAAAGACTTCTGACCTTCCACAGGCATGCAGGTATTAACCACTTATATTAGGCAACTCATTTCTAGGAGAATCACTGGGATTTCAGGTGAACAGTACTAAAAATATGACTGTACTATATATTTGCTACAAAAGATATGTAAAAGTGCACTGAGGCTCACAAAGTAACACATTAACTTTTCTTGAAGAATAAAAGGTTGGCACCTTCCCCAGAGGTGTCTGTGAGACACATGAAGAGGAAACGAACGGGCCCCTAGACCACAGCCTTCCTGCAGGAAAAGTAGAACTCCATGCACTCTTGACCTCATACAGCTTGGGTGAGATTTGGTCACCATTATCAGTGGAGAATGGGAGCTCAACTTAAAGCTGAGTTTAAGTTAAAGATGGTTACTCAGCTGGTCAACTCAGGCCATGCGAGGTTATTTCTTACTTTACACCCCCATCAGCACACCCCATTGGCCCTGCCTTCATGATTCAGTGTGTGACCACTTTTCACCACTCCAACCGTTCCTTCAGCTCTACTATCACCTTGTGTATGGGTTTCCTTAGCAACCTAACTAGTCCCCTCTGCTTCTGCTCTTACACAGCAGCCAGGAAGAGTCTTTCAAAACATGCCAGAATGTGCCACTCCTCTGCTCAAAGCCCTCTGATGACTAATCTGACTCGGGAGCATCCAAAGCTCCTCATGGTTTGACTCCCAGCCCCTCTGACCTTGTCTCGTGACACCCTGGATTCCTTTACTGCAGTAATGCTAAACTCCTGGGTATCTACCACAATGGGAAATGTGCTCCTAGTTGCTCCCTCTCCTCTTGGCTATCCTAAAGGTTTGTTCCCTCACACTTCAGGGCTCTGCTCAAGTCACCTCAGTAAAACCTTCCCTACCTCCAGTATGGCAGCAAGAACACCTCCAGCCCCCATATTACTGTGTCTCCTGCCTTCTTTTACCCTTCCCACAGTGCACAGAGATGATTTTCTCACCTACCAAGATTTAAGTTTTTGGTCTATTTCCTTCATCAGAGCATAAACTAATCAGGGTAAGGACCTCCTCTTGCTCAATGGTCTATCCCCAGTGCCTTGGAGAGTGAGAGGACACACAGGATTTTCAAAAGATAACTTATTTGGGGCTGGAGAGATGGCTCAGTGGTTAAGAGTACATACTGCTCATCCAGAGGACTGGAGTTCAATTCCCAGTAACCACAGCAGGTGGCTTACAATCACCTGTAACTCTAGCTCCTAGGGGATCTAACACCTCTGACTGCTGTGGGCACCTGCACTTACACACTTACACACACACAGACACACACACACATACACACAAATAGAAATAAATTAACTAAAAAGATACTTATTTGGATACATGGATAGAATGATGGAAAAAATTTTAAAATATTTAAATTTCAACATATGAGCCCAAGAGCACAAATCCACAGTAGTCAGAAAATAAGCAGCTCTCTTACCAAGGAGGACAACCGGTACAGGGAATATCAAGATTGTCCTGTGCTAGGTTCTACTTCCTTGAAGTAGAATCACTTTTTCAAGGAACAAAAAGAAGGTCAGTAAGGCAGTACCAGAGAAGGCGTCAGCACAAGAGGGGCCTGAAGGCAAGCTGGGAAAGCACTCTGGGCTGGGAGAAGCCCTGGAGTAATAGAAGCAGGGGAATGATTATCATGTGCTTTAAATGCTTTTCAAACAGCATCTTGATAAGTTGCTCAGGCTGATCTCAAACTTCTGATCCTCCTGCCTCAGTTTCCTAAATACTGGGATTACAGGTGTGTGTCGTAACACACATTCATGCTTCATGATTTTGAGAAGACCAGTGAGTGCTTTGCAGTGGTGAGGTGGAGAGGGACAGGTGTGGAGTGACAGAGCAGTTAGGTTACCACAGCAATCTGGGAAAGATGACAGTGGGAGTAACTGGGACAGCAAGATATGTATTACTTTTACTGAGAAAAGGAAGGTATGTGCCAGACTGGATGTGATAAGAGGGTTAAGATAGCCAGGTCGACATCTCAAGTAGAGAACACAGCAATGATAAAAGCAGATCTGGGCTTCTCAGTTCTTGACATCCTAGAAGTGCAGGTTGCTAGCCACAGGTGCCATGTAGGGGCTGCAGGACAATCACTGCTTCTGTGAAAGACAGCAGGTTTGACTGACTATCTAAAAACTATCAAGGAATCCTCCAAGTACATTTTCACAATTGAGTGGGCAGTGGGCATGCTGGTGATGTACTGGGCTGGACAAGGCTCACTCGTTCTACCTGTCACTATACTGGTGACACACTGGGCTGGACAGGACTCACACTTACCCGTCACTTTTCTTCAGTAGGTATCCTTTCTTCTCACTGCCGTACTCCTTGTTGCCCTGGAGCTGATGCATGCTGTACCCGCCTTGCCGGCTCTGAGAGTCCTGAAAAACGGAAATCACAGGCTAGGAAATGCTGGAGACTGTTCTTGAACCTCTGACTCTTCTGTCATTTGCCCATGGGTCTGAGTCTAAGAGAATTATGGATCTTTGAGATCTGTGAAGACCTCACTTTTATTTTAGCAGAGGAAATAGGACATGTGGACACTTGCCAGACTCACAAAGCAAGACTCCGGCAGAGCTGATGGCTCAGATCTCCTATCTCTAGCTCAGAACCCAGTTCTACTCTGAATTCAATTCAGACACACAGGAGATGGTGCTGTGACTCAAGCCAGCTACTACCTGCAGCAGAGGTAAACATGGGAAGCAGTGGAAAGGGTGGATGGGAGCAGAGCAGGGTACAGCAAGCTGATGGAGCTTTACCCTTGGGGCACCCTTTTCCTTACACATTCTGATAACATCCTCTAAACATTAAGAAGAAACTTTCTGAGCAGGGCATCGACAATTAGTATATAATTCTTGGTACATAACTGACTACACACTGGGCATCTATAATTTAAAAACCTGAATTCTGAAAACTTTTCAGTGTTGAGGTGATGAGCTCTGGATGTGAGAGCACTTTAGATCTCTGAGTTTTGGATGAGGGATGTTCAATTGGCGAACTCGGCAAGCATCCTAGAATTCTAATGACAAATCCAGAAGCTCTTGGTCTCCAGCATTTCAGGTAAGGAATACTCTGCATACAGTGCTCTGTAAAACATGCCTATGTCAGCACTTTGTTTGAAACTATGGCTCTGTGGCATGAGAAATGATGTCGTGAAAGCAGTGCACGGGGCCAGGCCAGCAGCAGATGCAGACAAGCTTGCTTTCACTTTGGCACCTCACTGGTGCCTAACCACAGTGTCTAAGAACAGCATGACTAGAAACAATTATCACACTGTGAAGATGCAATGAATCATGTGTAAAAAGGAAGAACATGGACCTCTAGACATTCAAGTAAAACAATACATTTGCACAAAAAGTGTGAACTTACTCTCCTAGACTTCGATCAGGAAGGGCAAAAGCAACAGAAAAGAAAGCAGAGCATTTGAAAATATAATTAATTGTGTTAAAACATTAATCATCCATATTTAAGCAGTTTATATAATATACAGAGAAATATCATTATAAAGATGTATCAGAAAACCCACACAAACCTTTAGAATCATGATAAACTTTGGATGATGAAACAGTAAGGTATCTCTTTATTGAATTTTGTTATTTTAGGTCAAGTTTAGTAAGAAAATGAATGTATTAGCAGAAAATAAGATGGACATTTCCTCAGATAAAGCAGACAACCTCAAAAGCGAGAGCTCAGGGAGCCATGCTCAGTACAACCAAAATGATCACTCAGAAAATCTGAGAGCCACAAATTGTGAGTTCCTCTGTATTCTCACTTTCCAATCCAAGAGAACTCCGTGTGTGTGTGTTCATGCACACACATGCATGCAAATGTGTGCAAGTACATGCATGTATGAAGGCTATGGGTCAATGATAGGTGCCTTCCACTGCTCTCCTCCTTGTGTTTTGAGCAGTCTTTCACTGAACCTGGCCAGAGCAGTCAGCTAGCAAGCCCTGGGGATCCTGCTGTCTCCACCTACTCAGTGATTACAGGCATGCACTGCCATGCTTGGATTTTTATGTGGGAGCTGGGGATTCAAACTCAGGTCCTCATGATTGTGCAGCACACATTTTATCCCCTGAACCATCTCCCAAGCCCCCAAAGAAAAAAGTCCAGTTCATAAGAAGCACCTAAAATTTGATGGTGCTGAAGGAAAGAGCCACTAGCCTCTGGTTATTTACCAATGGCTCGTACCAAGCACAGGCTGACAGCCAGTTACAGCTTATTGGTTATTAAGGATCACTTTTTGTTAGGCAGTATGTGCTCAGTGATGCAAATTAACATTAGTAACAGGAAGGAAAACTGGTAGGACAATGTACCTTTGTAAAGCTATTCTATAGGTGATCAAATCCTGTGCTCAAACATGTCCCAAATACCTCTTGAGGGCTGGGACCCTGAATATGAGACAGTCCAAACTTTGTGCTAGCTGCTCATACTCTGACCAGTCACTGTCCTGCTCTCTCATGCAGGTAACTGAGAACTGACAGTAGGCTTTACCAGGCAAGCTGACTCCTATGAAAGATGTTGTAAATGTCAGTCACTACTGTTTTTTGAGACACTGTCTCCCTGTAGCCCCAGCTGGCCTGAAACTTGCTATGTACACCAGACTGGTCTTAATCTCACAGAGATCTGCCTGTTTCTGCCTCCTGTGCTGGGATTAAAAGCCTGCCCCACCAAGCTTGGCTGTCAGGCACTTTTTAATCTAAGGAAGTTTGCTCTTCAACAGGTCTGATTCCTTCCAGAAAATTGGACAAATCTGATCACGTGGAGGAGGGGTGTGGTAATGGACCAAGCTCTAGAAAGCTCCTGCAAAATTTCCTAATGTTTACTTTTTAAACTTTAAAAAAAATTATTTTATTTTATGTGTATGCATGTATTGCCTGCGTGTAGGTTAGTGCACCCATGTTGTACAATGCCTGAGGAAGACAGAAGAGGCTGTTGGATCCCCTGGGACTGGAGTTACGGATAGTTGTTAGCTGCCATGTGGGTGCTGGGATTCAAACCCGGGTCTTCTGCAAGAACCACCACTGTTCCTAACCATTGAGCCATCTCTCCAGCCTATTTATTTATTTTTTAACAAATTTTTTTGTGTGTGTCTATCCCAGAAGTCAGAAAACAACAACTCTCATTCCACCATAGGACTACTGGGGCTCAAACTCAGGTCTTCAGGCTTGGTGGCAAGTACCTTTACACATGGAACCATTTCTCTAGCCTCTAATGTTCACTTTTAAACAGAGCCATGGCCTTCAATGGCATAGTAATTTGGTTCATTAAGTCATCTCAGACCTGTATTTTCTGGATTGTTGGATAGAGCTAGGGATGTGTGGCTGGAATAAACAGCTCCGGTGTTAGGCCCAGAAACTTTATGTAGACCAGGTTGGCCTTGAACTCACAGAGATCTGTTTGCCTCTGCCTCCGGAGTGCTGGGGTCAAAGGCGTACGCCACCATGCCTGACTCATGAAGCCGTTCTCAAGTTTATTTACTACCAGCCTAAATAACCTTAAACTGTGAATAAGAGTTTGAAAAGGTTCCTCATACACGAGGGAAATATATACTTTTAGAGGTAAATGGGATGGCTGGACTCTGGGCTTTGGCCTAATTAACCAACAGGACAGAAGCAACATGTTTCAGAAGTCTAGCACAAACAACTCCAAATGAGCTAGGTTTCACAGATTTATAAAAGTAAATCAATGATTATTACTGCATTGAGAAATAATGGCCATTCTGCTTACTTAGTGGAATATCACCAATAAATGAAAAGAGGCTTTTATATTTGAGAAAGTAGATACTGGAAAATTACTAATATTTATAATTTAAAACATAAACACAACTGAAGAATGAAACAAGTTCTGAATTTATTGATAGCTTAACAGAAATCAACCATGTATTCACAAAAGAAAAATGCAAAAAACTTGCTCGGGCAAAAATATGTAACACTGAAAATAAACAATGAACTTTAAACCTTTGGGGAATTTGATGTGGTTAGCCAGGAAATATAAACTATACAAGGATCTACCTTATTGATTTTCAGTTCAACTTCTTCTTCCCTATTAGCAGTAGAGACAAATCACTACTGTATCTGAAATTACACTGACATGTAAATATAATTATTAAGGTGTAAAAATGTCACATTTCTCTAAACTGCATGCAATTCACATTTACTGATTTAATGGGTTTATAAATTTTTTGTTCCCATCTTAAAATTAAATCTCTACCACAGAAGCTTCAAATTTATAATGGAAAGTGTAGTTGGTAGTAAAGATTTGCTCCGTATCAGCTAATTTAAGACTACAAAATTTTTGGGTATGAAGCACATTGAGAAGGAGCAACACAGAATTGATCAAACTTTCAAACTGTGAAGGGCTATTCAGAGTCTGCCAGTGACTTGAGCTTTTAAATAATTCTGTGTCCTATAAATGTGACTTACAGATATCACTGTTAAAAACAGAATATTTACAGCCCTAATAATAGCTGTGTAGAAAGTAATTCTTTCAGGAGGTTAGGCTATTATTAAAGGCAAAGATGATTTCATGGAACATTTGCCAAATACAACAAAAACTTAATTTGATTTTGACAAGAAAAAAGAATGAGCTTTCCAAAAATCCGGGGAGCCCATTTACAACTAAAATTCTTTAACAGTTCCTTTATATTTACATTAATTTATTTATATTTTGCGTGTGTGTGTGCGTCCGTGTGTGTGTGTGTGTGTGTGTGTGCGTGTGTGTGTAAGGTGTGTGTTGAGGTCAGAGGACAACTCATAGGAGTCTGTTCTCTTTTTCCATCATGGGGGTTCAGGAGATCAAACTCAGGTCATCAGGCTTGGGGCAAGGGCTTTACTCACTGAGCCACCCCACTGGTCTCCTTTACAACTTTTTAATTGTCAGCTCGATACAATTTGGAAATCACCTGGGAAGGGAGTTGCAATGAAGGATTGTCTAGATCAAGCTGCCTTGTGGCCATGTCTGTAGGAACTATCTTGATCTCATTAATTAAAATGAAAAGACCTGCCTGAGGCATGGATCTTGGATTTCTCAGAGTAGAGAAAGTGAGCTGCTCTCTGCTCTAGACTGTGGATGTGATGCTAGCTGCTCAAGCTCCCAATGACGTGACGTGATGTTCCTGCAATGACACTGCTATGTGGAACTGTGAGCCAAATAACCCTTCTCCAGGATGCTTTTGCCACAGCAACAGGAAACAAAACTAAGATGGCCTCCTTTAATGAAGCCATGTTAAAAACTCGAAGAGGTTAAAGGTTAGATGATCTGCTGGGCACTTTTAATTTCTCTCTTTTAGGTTACTCTGCACTCCTGTCAAACACTGGGGTTATGGCAAGAACTCTCTGGTGGATATTCTCCTTCACATTTCATCTGTCACTCAGCATCATTACTTGCAAAGTTAGTTTGCAACAGGAGGTGATGAACAGCATTAGAAATGGATGCACATGCTGGGAAAGGTCAACTTTTCTTGTCAAATACTTGGGCGATGGTACCAATGGAAATGCATTCATCAATGTGGGGTGGAGATAAAAATAAATCACCCAACATTCATTTCATCATGCAGACACTGTTGTCATGAACTTTGTTTTTTAGCTAGCCTAAGAATAATACATTAGCATCTATGCAAAACAAAAGGACTTTGTTTTTTTCAAGAGAATGCCCCTACATAGGAAGGCTGTAACTGCTGTGTAATAAACAAAGGTAGGATATAGTTAAGTGCACACCAGAAAAGAAGATCCTTTCAACTTTCTCTGGACAGTTATTTGCTCTTGTCCATCTTTACTTGGGGTCTCTATTGCCTTTACACTGAGGCTCATTCAGGGAGATGATTTCTCTTGGGGTCTGATGTCAGCAGAGAACAGGGTCTGTGCTTCAGTCTCTGATACTAAGAAATTTACTGCAACAGTCTGTGGCTGCTGACCACAGGCACAGTCACCACGTGAGACTGCCTGGGTACATATTTTACCTCCATATACACACGTTCCTAGGAATCAAGCATACTGTATAGGAGAGCAAGTACCTAGAGTTAAAGAGCAACAGACTTTTACCAAACTCCAAAGGGTTCGTAAAAACTCATCTGGAGAATAAAAAGTACATTTACAGTCACTCAAAACAAACCTTCATAAGGCTGCAGAAAGGATGGGTACTGCAGGTCTCCCATGTGTTTTTCTTGGAGGTGGGGTGTGGGCTAGGAGGGCAGGTGCTTTATTTTTGCTTTGGACTCATGAATGCCTTTTAGAAATTTTAGGAGTTAAAGTGAGAATGTCATTGTTGTGAGCTATCCTAAGGAGATGACAATATAAATGTGCATTCTATGCAAGCATCAAGCAGCTTAACTGAATTTAAACTGCATCCACAGTAATTTCATAACAGACACATGTGACTGCTTCCCATGTAACAATGACAGTGACTATTCACTCTCATGATGAAATCATGCTGCCGAGCACACTTCCAGTGTCCTCCAAAATCAGGCCCGAATTTTTGTCTCAGAAACCCATGTCCCACTTGTCCACCCTTCCTGGCCTCAAAGTTTTACAGGGCTCTGAATACAGGGGCCCCCACCTCTGCGTCTTTCAGGGGTTCTCTCTGGCAATGTGTCTTAAGCAGCAGGGCAGCGTTTTAGTCATGACTATTCATTCTGCTAAGTCATTTGGCTAGAGAATGAGCTCCTGGTTGCAGGGCACTAAAGCCTGGCATCTAGTCCAGTGTCAGACCCACAGCTGGCAACGCCTGCACCAACGGTGTCTACAGCTAAGGATCAGGAATGCATTCACCTACATCTATCATGCATTCCACTGTTCAGGATCTAGGGGCCATCTCAACTGAATTTTAATTCCAGGGCAGAGCTTCTACAGGATTCTCTGTGGAAGTATTTTCTTAGTTCCTTGGCAAAATGAAACGTAGTGTTTCTGGCTTCAGAAATGGTCTGAAGCACAGAGCCTGGGGAGTACAGTCTGTCCTTCAAAGGCAACATCAAAATCTAGGGTTATAGAAGACTGTAGGACCAATGGGATATTTTATGCAGAAGGAGGCAAGGGGACACATTCCTACCCTGGGTATTACTGTAGGTGCACATTTGTAGCTTATACCCAATCTGTCCCCACAGCCACCCTGACAAGAAGCTATCAATGTGCTTGTTTCACAGATTAAGAAATACAAAGGCCATCACAAGCAGCCTCACTTACACTGTTGGCCCTGCTGGGAACATATAAACCACCTACTTCTTTCTGATCAAGCTGCAGTGAGGACTTTATTAAGTCTCGGAGTGCAGTTAGCTGTTTCTTTTCTTCATCTTGGGTCTGTTTTATCTATGAGAGAAAAATTCATTTCTGTTAATTGTCAGTTAAGTTTTTAAGAGTAAAGTTAAATTATCCAAATACACTACTCATTAAACAACTCAATTTTATAGTTGTCGAAAAATTTCCTAGTACAGTCCTTCGGAGTGCTTCACGTGTTATATAAGAGGCAGAGTCCTATCCTGACAAAGTGCCAGTGAGTTTTGAAATTAGTCAATCATGTCAGACTTTCTTATTAAGCAACAAATAAAGATCACCCAATGAACCCGTCTAAATATGAAATTGATTTGTTTCACATACACCTTCAACAGACATGCTGAAGACAATTTCCTACTAGAAACAGCTTCTAGCTTTGATGTACATATGTACACGCATATATTTTAGCATAGCTATGTTTTGGCTTCATCTATCACATAAGGTCAGGTGTGGAATCTGTTGCCTGTGGTGTCATGCTAGCTGCTCCTCAGTTTCTGTTTTAGAGCACTTTGGATCAGGGATGCCCAATTTGTTACCTGTAATTCTACAACCTTTTTTAAAAAAGACATATACTCGGGGCTGGAGATGGCTTAGTAGTTAAGAGCACTGACTGCTCTTGCAGAGGACCCAGGTTCAATTCCCAGTACCCACATGGCAGCTACAAAATGTCCTTAACTCCAGTTCCAGGGGAATCCGAAGCCTTCTTCTGACCTCCGTGGCATTACACGACACAGGTGCACTCACATACATGCAGGCAATACACTCATATACATTAAAAAAACAAAAAACAAAAAAGGGGGCTGGAGAGGTGGCTCAGCAGTTAAGAGCGCTGACTGCTCTTGCAGAAGACCAGGGTTCAATTCCCAGCACCAATATGGAGGCTGACAACCATCCCTAACTCCAGTTCCAGGGGATCCAAGAGCTCTTCTAATCTCTTTGGGAAGTATATGGCACAGGTGCATTTACACACATGTAGACAACACACTCAATACACATTAAATACATAAAAAGCTTTAAAAAACCTTAAAAAATATATCTTCTTTTAATACTCACCAACCAAGTGCTTTACAGGCTACAACTCTGCCAAATCTATTACATATATTTTCCCCTTAGAAAAGTTTTTTTTTTTTAACTTTTACAAAAACTTTATTGAGAATCTCATACATGCATATAAGGTGTTTTGATCAAATCCATTCTCACTCCCTCCCCTCCAACATTCCCCACTCTGAAGAGGTAACCCTAAAATCTTTTAAGGTTTAGATACGAGCTCCCAAATACTTTTGACATTTTGTCATTTTTGGCCTCTGGAACAGAGTATGTTGCTAAGAGGCCCAAGGACATTTTGACTTTTAGCCAAGAAACTGGCTACATTTCTTTGGGGTCTTTTTTACCCTAACTGCCTGTTACCCCAACTGCCTAGCCAGTTCCTACCTCCTAGTCTTATCATGCCATCCTCTGAAGGGATTATCCAAATTTCCAATAGGGAATAGGGAGGCAGACCACTCTGGCTTCTTCAAAAAAATTTTAAAAACATTTATTATTTTTATTTTTATGTGTATGAGTGTAATGCTTGAGTGTATGTAAGTGCACCTGTTTTGTGCAATGCCCATGGTGGTTGGAAAAGGGCTGGGGATCCCCTGGAACTGGAGTTAGGAACGGTTGCTAGTTGTCATGTGGGTTCTAGGAATTGAATCCAGGTCCTCTGCAAGAACAGTCAATGCTCTTTCTATTGCATCATCTCTCCAGCCCTTTATTTATTATTACAAAAGGAAAGCCATAGCTGGGTATGGTGGCACATGCCTTTAATCCCAGCACTCGGGAGGGAGAGGCAGGCAGATCTCTGTGAGTTCAAGGACAGCCTGGTCTACACAGTGAGTTCCAGGACAGCTGGGGCTACAGGAGACTCTGTCTCAAAAAGACTTTAAAAAAAAAAAAAAAAAAAAAAAAAGGCAAAGCCTATCTGGATGTTGCAGTGCAGGCCTTCAATCCTAACACCCCAGAGGTTAAGGCAAGAGGATCATGGGTTTCAGGCAGTCTAGGCTATATACAGCAAGAGCCCATTTCAAAGACAAATCAGACAAAAAAGGCAGGATAACCTAGGTATTAAGGAAGAAAAGAGACCCATAAACACATCACTTGACCTGTTCTGCTTAATGCCCTTCTGATATAGGTGTCAAGTTTACTGATGTTTATCACAAGCTAAACTACCTTTGCTATATAGAGAACTTACATTATATAAGTCAGCAGCCAGTTTTTCAATGTACTGTTTCAGTTTATCAGCTGTTTTCAAGCCATCCTGAAAGAAACTACAATGAAAACAACAGTGATTTACAAGCAGTAAAGAATGTAATCATGTGCCAAACCTGAAATCTTAGTCCCTACCCTTCTGTTTGTCTCCACAAAATAAATGTAAAACTAAGTTCAGTGTTTTATAAAGACGTACCAACAAGAAATGATGGCTACTATTTGATACCTGCCAGAAGACATCACAGTCACTACAAATTATACTTATAGTCCAAACACAGTCATTTCATAATGTGAATTCTGATCCACACAGGGATCAATTCCTCGTGGCCGAGCCTGTGTCCCTGGCAATAGTGAAATCCACTGGATGCCACAGGACATCCAGAGGTGCAGGCATGAGGCTCAATGTTCTTCCAAGTGGCTGGAGATCTTTGTGTCCTAACACCTACTCAGAGCACAGGACTTGAAAGCAATGGAACCAAGGGTCTGGAATGCTGTATGCTATCCTGCACCACATAAATAACAGGGTCACATTATTTCCTTTAATTGCAACAAGAGCTAACAACCAAAGAGCCTTTACTGCATGCCCAGGTCTGCATCACACACTTTTCATATGTTTAGCAGACAGCACACACAGGCAGAGGGACTGTACAACTTGTTCTGTTTAGAGATGGGATCGGGACCCAGGACTGCCTGATGCTGAATCTATTCTCATGGCTAGCATGTGAAGATATTCCTTGTCTTGGGTGGAACATTCCACTCGGGAGCCTCACCTGTAACATCAGTTTAGAGAAATTATGGGGCACTGGTGGTCAGAATTCTCTTTGGTGTACTGCACATTTCTCTAGCCATGTGCTGATCATAGATTATTTCTCCAGAGTAAGAATTATCAGCCTTGTGGTCTCCCCACAAAGGAGGACCATCTCATTCCACATCACACAGGGCCTACAACGAGGTCGATGCTCCAGGGCCATGACTGGAACATCAGTCCGCCTCAGGAGCCATGCATGTTTGAGTCTTTACAGGCACACTCACTGTCAGGATTACATCTTATCAGATCTGGCCTTTAGAGTGACTACTGAAGTTAGACAAGTACTGACTTTTTTGAGGGTTGACATCCTTAGCAGAAAACCTTTTCTAAAGTAAGGCGAACACTATTGTAGAGCGTCTTCTATCCACAGGGAACAGGAGGAAAGAGAGCTTTTTGGCTAACTGCATAACTGGAAAAGAGATTTAAATCCTCTTTTTTCTAGCATTCCGTTTCCCATCTCTGCTTATCTGGATGCAAGTTAAATTCCTCTGTATAGAATTAATGAACTTTAGTGTCAGGGCTGGAGTGATGTCTCAGCAGTTAAGAGCACTGCTCTGGCAGAGGACCTGGGTTCAATTCCTAGTACCCACATGGTAGCATACAATTGTCTGTAACTTCAGTTCCAGGGGAGCTGATTCTATCTTCTGGCCTCCATGGGCATTGCATGACACGGGAGCACCTACACACATGTAGGCAATACATACATACACATAACATAAAATATTTTATTAAAAAAATAAAGAACTTTAGTGTCCTGGCCGACGGTCTTTGCACTTTTATCTCCCTCCATTTTCTTTCAAAAGGTTTCGGTTCCAGCCCTGTTGTGTCATTTCTAGAGACTTGCTTCTTCTCGACCCATCCTCGACAGCTAGAACACACATTCCCATCACTGCATGAGTCTACAGGACAGAGCTGTGCTTCAAACAAGCAGCAAGCACTCGCACAGAACACAGAGAACGTTCCATTACCGCATGATCCTAGTGTAGACAAAACAGAACAAATATAGCAATCTCTCGAGTGAAGAGATTAATTAAGATATTTTGTTTTATTTCCTTTAATTTCCTTTAAATGTCCTAATTTTTTTCCTAAAATGGAACAAAGTTTTGAACCAAAATGAAAGGATCCAGGTTTAGACCAAGGGGACAAGCCTGAGAGAGCTCCTTTAAGAAATCACTTTAGGGCCATTTTCATTTCCTTAAGAAACAGGAATAGAATGAATAGTGAGGTGCAGAAGGAACAAAATGACAGTGGTCATTAGTAACACGGGCAATAACTCAGAAGTCACCGCTGCCTACACTGTCCCTCTGGGGACGCCCTCCTCCATGTTCATTCCTCTTGAGAGGGTGTTGCATAGACTGTCCTCCAATAGACAGACCATGGACAGACGCCTATTTGCCTAGGACCATCACGGCTAAGCTTGCTGACTATTATCATTCCCAGAAAGGAGGGGCAGGGAGAGTCAGCCACACCTCCCAACCAACCACTTGGCCCAAGTTACACGGGGGGAGGGGCTAAAGGTATATAAGTTGAGGAAATCCTAGGGAGGCTCTCTCAACATTTTCTGCTATGCCTGGATGGAGACTTTCCTGTGTGACTTTAGGAGGGAAGCACCCACACTCCTGTAAGTAAACCCTCACCCACTGCTCTGTATGTAAGCCCAGTAAACTCACTTGTTTTTCAGACTGTAGTTTGGTGAAATCATACCTCGGTTTGTCGTAAGGACCAAACCTAATTTGCACCAGAAGGAATTTTAGCTACACAGGGTCACAGGGATGTCAGCCAGGGATGGGAGGGCCTGAGCACCACTACCTTTTGTAGCACTTCATGAGGCAGTGGCCTCTCTCCCCGCCTCTTCCTTCCTCTCTACTGTGGTTGGCTTAGGTTATCGGCAATGCAAGGACTTAGGCATCAAGAGTGTATCTGGACTCCAAGCTTCACTACATCTGTGACCTTGGGCACATTATCCTATGTGCACTGCAGCATGCTCATCCAAATGTGGTCAGTTTCTCAACTCAATGAGCAACACAAGTGCTACAGATCTAAATGTTCTATTAATTGGAAAGTGAACAGCAGTATGAGTTCTGATTACCTGTCACTGAATGTAACACACATGCCTTCAAACAGAAGAAATTATAACAGCCTCTTGTCCCAGAGTCATTTTCTGTGCCCATTACCAAAACGCAGGAGTTTCAGAAAACAAATGATGGAACAGCCATGGTAACAGCAGTGAGAGCAGGTGGACACAGTCAAAGCGCTCCCCCCATTTCAACTCAGCCACCCCACAGCGCTCTAACTCAATGACTAATATGAGGTATTACCAGGGCAGATTTTCTGCTGAGTGTTAGCTGCTTCTGCTGAAAATCATCTGGAACTTGAAGTGCTCAGAAGAAATCTTTTGGATGAAAATGTGACTAGAAAATGCTTTGCCGGTCAACATGTGCTAGAGAGGGTCTAGAGGGACTGAGGTAAAAGAAGAAAATTTTCTGAAAGAAAATCTCCCCACCTTCCTAGGTCCAACGATGAGCAACTGACTGCTGAGCTCCAGCATCACCAGTCCTGTCACCTGAGGTCTCTGAAACTCAGCCTTTTCTTACAAGGAGGCTCCCCTGCTGATCTCTGGCACCAGATTCCAGTGGCCAAAGCCCGGTTGCCTTCCATGTCCAACCCCATGCACCACAACCTCCTTCAGGGCATAGACACTGTCTCCTTGGCTTCTCTGAAGGCATCTCTCCTGCTCCTGGTGCTTGTGGTACCACCCACTGTCCACTGTCTGACAGCTCACGGGTACCCGACTTCTTGTACCAGACAATGAATTCCAGACAGAAACTCTGTTTGATCCCTACCCCAGAACCTAGCAAGATTTGTGGTGGAGGCCAGTCAACATTCACAGCAGGGAAGCAGCAAAGCAGGAAGGAGTAAAGGAGGAAGGACTGACCACAAGAACATTGCTCATTCCAGCCTGACTCACAGAGGGGGATCCGATGCCCTCTTCTGGCCTCTGTGTGCATTGCACTTCATACATTCACACAAAACACTGATACACTTAAAATTTTTTTAAATTAATTTTAAAAAATTAAAAAAAGAAAAAGAAATAAAGATGAAAAATTTTAGTCCAAACTACAATCTGGGTCCATCATGGCTTACCTTGCCAGGTGTGGTGGCTCACACCTTTAATCTCAGTACTCAGGAGGCAGAGGCAAGCAGATCTCTGTGAGATCAAGGCCAGCCTGGTCTACATAGCAAGTTCCAGGTCAGCTGGGACTATAGAGACCCCTGTCTCAAAACCAAAATAAACAAAACAAAACCAGAACACCATTTCACAGAAATCCAGAGCTAAGCATTCACAATGCCCAAAGCATTAAACGTCATTTAATTTAGATGATGAAAACCCTCGAGCAACTCTGGGTGGGATACATGGGGTAAATGAGACAGTAAGACGGGCTAGGAGGCCAACACAATAGCTTCTCAGTGACAGGCCAACACAATAGCTTCTCAGTGACAGGGGCTCATGTGGTGCCCCGCTCCAGAGCTGTCAGGGTTAACTAATGGTTATGAGGGAGACAGTTTTTCAGAGTAATCACACAGGTGTCTATTTTGAACTACGACTGATTTATACAAAATACTGAGGGTTTAAGACAGCATTATTATTTCTTACTCATGTAGCAGAAGAAAAAAATCTTTACACCACTAAATGAACAAAACGATTAAGAGCACTGAGAAGAGTGAAGGAAGGAAGGGCTGGTCGGTACTAACACTGCACTTACTTGCACTGTGCGTGGTAGTACTTTATGAGATTCTGCAGCAGGTCCACACCCTTTTTGGTCTTGATTTCATTAACTTTAATGAGATACTGTGGAAATGAAAGAGAAATTTATGTTGATAATTCCAGATAGGGCTCTGGAGTCATGGGCTCATGTGGACAAACACCACTCCCAGACTGTAGGAGGCAGTGAGCCTCGGTGGCCCGAGACAGGTGAGCTTCACTTAAGGAATACTGATTGGGTGCAGTCACAGTGAATGTTAGCGTGTGCTAAGGTCTTACAATTAGTGAAGTCGACAAGCAAAAATGAAACACAGCACAACGATCTACAACTGACTGCTTCCCCTTGTTGCAGTGGATCTCAAACAGATGCACGTAATCCTGAAGGATGGACTACTCTGCAGAAAACAAAAAGGATGGGATTCTCTTCAAGAAATAAACCACAAGATAGCGAAGCTTTAAACCAAGGAGGTAACTCCGAAGAAAGTAATTCCTTTATTAAAAACAAAAACAAAAACAACCATGAAAAAGAATGGAGCGAGCTCAGTGCAGCTGCCTACACTGTACTGGCCTGGCTTTCATCACCAGCTAAGAGCTACCGACACTGCGTCTTTCTTGCTCACATGCTGCATTTTAAAAGTTCAGGAATAGAAAAGTTCAAGGAGTCAAAGGTTTATGAGGAAGAATAAGAGAAACAAAATCCCAGCAACAACAAAAAAATAAATTCAGGAGGAAAACTTAAAATTGAGCAAATTCTCCTTTAATATTTTCAAAAGTAGCTTTATAATGGGTGTCCAGGTCCAGGAGTGCAAGTTCTGGGGTGAATTCAGTTTGAGAACCACCGCCCTAAGATTAAGGTAGCATGCTTTTTACTGCTTTTCTGTGAACTCAGACTTTCTTAATGGGAAAGTTCTTTTAAACGCTCATTCAAACTGGATCCATGCTTTAGAAAACTCCCACATGCTCCAAAGTTGTAGCAGTCACCAATGTGACCTCTCAACAGCATTTCCCCCAACAAGCACTCACAAGCAACATTAAAGTTCTCACCAATGAGAGCCCCATAGGACCAAGGCTCAAAATACGAGACAACAGTGCAATGGCGGATCCCAAAGGGCTTGGAGAAAAAGGGAGATTAGAATCCTTAGGAAACAGTCCCTCCTCCAACTATCAAACACAGCCTGCCTTTTAGCATTAACTCTGCTGAACTAGCAGGGGAAGAGTACAGCTATTAAATTCCAGGCCCGTGACAAAAGGTCTGTTCTTACTTCACACATCTGGAGCTGAAAGAGGCGTCTTTCCTTCTCCATCTCTTCCGCAATCTCGGCCCCTGTGATCTCTGTGCGGATCATCCCGTGCTGTTTTGCATGCTCTCTTTTCTCCTTCTCGATTTTTGTACTGTAATTAAAGCAGATGTCACTTTTTAAAGACACTGTTGTACAACATCAAAAGTGAACAACCCTAATGCAAACTTGGCTCTGGATGATGATGTGCCTATGTGGGTCCATTAACTGTACCACATGCAGTGCACTGGGGTGGGTGATAATGGGGGCAGTGTGTGTATGTGTAAGGCCCTGGGTTTAACCCTAGCATTGCAAAACTATTCTTCAGGGCCAAAGAACACATATCTTTCCTTTAATGAAGGCCACTGATTAAGTACTAGTTAAGAGGCAAGAATTAAAAAAATATATTTTATTTATTATTTTAATTTTAAGTATATGAGTGCATTGCCTACATGTGTGTAAGTACACCTGTGTTATGCAATGCCTGTGGAGGTCAGAAGAGTGTGTTAGATCCCCTGGAACTGGAGTTACAGACAGTTGTTAGCAATCATGTAGGTGCTGGGAATCTGTAAGAACAGTCAATGCTCTTAAGTGCTGAATCATTGCTCCAGCCCTAAAAGAGGCAAGAATTTTAAATTGGTAGGATAATCAATCACTAGTAAAAATTTAAGTTCAAAGAGAACAAACGTGCATTTTCATCCAGGAATTTTCTCATATCTTCATTTTGCTCTTAAATGTGATGGAGACTTAAAACTCTCTTAGGTTTTGGCTTACTTGAGTAAACTTTGATGGTTTACCCTGTCTTACGTAAACTACTTTTTGATGAAAAAGAAGCAGAAGGCAGAGGCCTCAGAATTATTTGAAGACAGAGTACATAATATGTTTTGGTCAGTATGCTTAAAAAGTGGTCAAAGAAAATTTCCATCTCCCACTAGCACCTTTAATCATTTAGCCACTTGTCACTGGATTGCACAAGAAAGGACTGGGAGAAATCCTCATGTCTACTTTGGAATTTTCAGCAAACGTGGTGGAGAGTTACTCTGATTTACAAAGCTGCAGTTTGGCAACTCTTTGATGATGCCATGTAGGCAGTCAGTGAAGAAAGAAGTGGTTCCTCACAGGGACTCTACCTCCATGTGCACGCGCTTCTCTTTCCACATGGACCCCACGAGTAAAGGTGTAAGAAAATTGAAATCTTTCCAAAATAGGAAGAAGTGATGAAACAGTGGCTGACAGAACTCAATAAGCATTGGAAAGAGCAGCTCTGAGGCCAGGAGTCCGCCCTCCCAGGCCCCCATGCCTCACGAGGTGGGGCCGAGGTGACTATACAGCACCTGGAATACTAACAGTAGAGCTGTGCTGGCACCCTAAATCCTAATGCCCCAAAGGCGGCTCACTGGCCTTTAACTCTAGACCTCCTCCCTCTGTTCCCCAAGTGTTCGGGCTATACGTATACTCCACCATGTCTGGCCTGCCTTGGACATCCTGTGAGTAATGATCAAATCCGGGTTTCTTTTTTTTTTGGTCGTTTTGAGACAGGGTCTCCCTGTAGCCCTAGCTGGCCTGGATTCGCTATGGAGACCAGGCTGGCCGTGAACTCACAGAGATCCGCCTGCCTCTGCCTCCCAAGTGCTGGGAATAAAGGTGTGTGCCACCACACCCAGCCAAATCTGGGTTTTTATAGTCAGCCAAACTTTCTGTACAATGTTTGAAGACAAAGGAGGTCTGCTGTTTGGCAGAATCTTCTAGAGTCGACGGCCTGCTGGGACATGGGACTACACCAGGAAAGAGGATTATAACCCACAGTTGATCCAGAGACCGCTGGACAAGGGTGTCTCCAGACAGAAAGGAAGAAACAGAAGAGAACTTAATGACAACAAATATGTAACTACCACAGTAGCAACTGCAAGGTATTTTCTAAATAGAAATACAATTGGCATCTACACGAAGGAAATGAGGTAACTCGTTTGAAAGAGAAAAAAAGTCCTCTAAGAAAGTCCTGTAAGAAGGGAAGTTTGATCACAATTCACTATTGAGATAACCATGAGAATGAAGCACGGACAAACGCCTTATCAAAAAGATATAAAACCAAACTGGGAAATGGGGGAGAGGAGACTTCAGGATCAGGACAATGGGCAGAGCTGCTTCCTACATTTTCACCAGAAGCACACCTGAGAGCTTGGGGAGGGAGGTCACACAGCCAAAGTCGGGGGAGTGGGGGGAGCACACTCACTGCTAACCTATACCTGCCTACTACATCATTTATAAAGGGCCCTGAACCATTAGGAGCAGCCCGCATTTATCATAGACTCTGGAGGACAATATGAACAGATGAGTGGTGTTATGTGGGAGTGTGGTTCTTCCTAGAAGGCCTCCACACTTTGCTGATAACTTTTGGAGCAAGGTGTGGTGGTGGTGTAAGCCTGTAATTCAAGCATACAGTAAACAGAAGATCATAAGCTTGTGGCCAGCCTGAGCTACACAGCAAGTCCAAGGTAATGTCAGCTACATGATGAGACCACCTCCAAACACCATGAGGAGATGGAGCGGGAGAGTGTACACTTAGCATGTGCAGGACTGAAATCTGAGCCCCAGCATCATGAAAAGAAACAACAAAACTTGGTAGGAAACACTAAGTGACTTCCCCACTGACAACTGCTTCCACACTTGTCCTAGCTCACCAGTTAGAACTGAGCAGTAGGGAACTTTTATCTTGTGAAAATCATCAGAAAAAAGATCCTGGCTCCTGATCAAAACACTGGCCATGATTCTGAAGTCTAGGATCTTGACCACTGATTCCACTGCCTCCCAGGGCTACATGGAAGACAACCACATAAAATGTCTACATTCTGGGTTATTTGAAAGGTAAATTAACCATTTTTTTTCACAGTAGCGAAAGTATAGATTTATTAAAAGTGAAAGTAAAAGCAACATCGTATACTCCAGGGACTCGGAGTGGGCTCCAGCCAGCACAGGCTTCAAGAGCCTGAATTAACTTTCCTTGTCTATGTCATTTTGTTTGCTGTGTCTTAAAACTCCTCTATGAAATTTTAGGAAAGTAAAATTTTAGGAAAGTATTGATAAGAAGTTTAAAACAATTTTTTAAAAAAGCAACACCTTCCTTTGTGAGATCTTAAAACCAGAGTCTACTCCACCCACTATCCCTCAGCACTTTGTGAATATTCATGAGCCACCTTCCATAAGAAGGGGACAGTGGCCTGATACACTGGTTCACAATGGCTGACCATTATAAGAACCTTTTGGTCTTCAGCTGCTTTAACTGTCCACACAGAAAACGGTTCCTGAAATCCTGTGTCCTCATACTGCACTCACTACATAAGCACCATGGGGAATATACGCTTTAACTCTAAGCTCTTCTTTTTCGTCTGTTCTCTTTCTGCCCATAGAAATGTTTCATTAAGCAAATTTACATCCACAGTTACTCAGGTTCACCGCTAAGACTTTTTAAAATACACATCTTTCCCTAACTACCTACTGTCTGGTGTCACAAATCTCTCAGACTAATAATAAAGGAACGCAAGCTAGGCATGGTGGTGCATGTGTCATTCCAGCACCTGGAGACAGAGGCTGTCTGAGTTTAGGCTAGCCTGAACTATGATCTCCCTAATCACAAGAACTTTGGAGACAAGTGGTCTGGCCCAAGGCCATGCTACACTGCTTAGGCTGTGGGTCACATAGACCTAACGTGAATTCAACAGTTAGGAGCTGTATGATGCTCCACAGCTCCGTAGATGCTCTAGACCGTCTTCCTGATGAAGAGATTGAGAGTCGCACATGGATGTTAGAAGGTTACTCACACTAAGCACACTGTAGTGCAGATCCTGACAAACAAAAGGATGTCATAAACATTAGCTATTACTTTATTTCCCAACTATTGTACTATACAGAAATACAAATGGTTGTAGGTGCGTTGGCTACAATGAAAGAAAAGTTGTCATACACAGAGGCCTCCAACTTGATAGTTTATATCAGCAACCAAAGTAAATGACACTAAAACCAGATAATTAGCATAGGTGGTGTAAACACTTTTGTTTGGATTTTTTGAGACACTGTCTTGCTTGTAGCCCAGGCTGGCCTTCTATTCACTATGTACACTGGGATGCTTCACTTTTCAGCAACCTTGCTGCCTCAGCTCCGGAGTACTGGGATGATGGTGTGCACCCCCATGCCCAGCGATCACTTAAGTACATCAGCATGCATAGTTCTTATCGCTTAAAAGGACATGCACCTGTTTTTGTGCGATTCTAGGTAAGAGGGGCTCTGTTCTTTCCATCACTTTCTTAGGAAGCTCCTGACAGTAACAATAAAAAGCAAACAAACCACGAAACTTACAACTTTGTCTCATAATCTTTCCAGGCTTTGTCAAATGGCTTCTTGAGATCCTTAAAAAGGAAAAATTGAGAAAATTAAAACCGTCATTCACTTTTCCTTGAATAGATAATTGAAAAAAAATCAGTAAAAATGACTTCCTGTGTTGGATAGGGAAACTATCATAGACATTTTGGAGCACATGCACTGTTTATCTGTTTTCATGTGAAAAGCCCAAGAGAGGTAGGAAGGGTGGGTGCTCCTGGTTCATGAGGGAAGCTGGACCCAGAGGCTCTGAGAGCCTGGTCCTTGATGGGCACACTGGGGAGGCCAAACAGGTCCAACTTCTCTCTCCCATCCATGGAGGCTCCTGACAATCTTTCTAAAAGTGCCTAATCTTTGTTTTTTTTTTGTTCTATGAAAACGCATATCTTTTCCAATCATCATTTTCCAAGGACATTTACTCTATGCTGACAATGTTCACAGTGCCTTTCAAGTATTACTATGATCTAAAAGAGGAAGGAAAAATATCTTTTCAAGCTAGAATAGAAATCACCGTTTCTGGTCACTTACTCCTTTGACTCCCTTCAGGTCTCCTTTTAACAAGGAATCCAAGGTGAAGATCACATTGTGGCTCAGACCCTGGAGCTGAAAAAGCAAAGCAAAGATGGGAGACAGTTATTTTTAAAAAATGCACGCAACACAATGAAACTCACTCTTGTTGACTGAGCGGTGTTCGCCCCCCATCCCCCTGCTGTCATCCAGAGCTGTTTGTGTATCACCTGCATGACATCCCCACCCCATACTGCAGCTGAAGGAATGGGGAGGGAGGGTTGTCGTTGTGCAGAACTACAGCTGTGCACAGGGAGCTGCAGTGCGGCTCCAGAGCTATGTGCTGAGACACTGCTGTAGCACGTGTTACATGTGTGCACGGGTACACATGGCTGCCATTCATTTGAGCACTTTCACTGCACCATCTACCAAAATTGCTGCTCTTTAGTGGCCTGTCAGGAGTACAGAGGGACCACACAACTGTCTGTTTCCCTTTCACGCTCGATGACATCAGGGACAGTATCCTGAAATCATGTCTATCCCATCTTCTCACGAGAATCCATGCTGTCTAAGGACAGGGACCTTGATGCCTCTGCTCACAGCAGCAGCCTGACAATAGTTTTTATTTTTTTGAGACAGGTTGGCTATGTAGCCCAGGCTGGCCTTGATTTCATAATCTTCCTGCCTCAGCTACCTGTGTTCTGGGATTACAGGTTCCAGGCAATGTGCCACAGCACCCAGGTAAAGGAAGATCTTTAAAAGTAAAGCCTAGCTGGGGGCAGTGCTCTGGGCCTCAGCTTGGTACAGGAGTCTAAAGAAGCGGAGTGGAAGGGCTGCCAGCTGGAGAGAAGGGCAGCAGAGGAGCCAAGGGACAGTTTCAAATAACTCTCTTCAGTGAGACTCTGATAAATACTGGTGAAATCAGCTTTAATGGGGGTAGGCCTGAGACTGCAGTGATACGCAGAGCCAGATTTTCAGTGGTGATGGTTTTGTGGATCTCCTTCCTTAAGCAACAGTTTATCCCCATGTAAGTACAGTTACATGGCCCACCCACCTACTGGCTCTAAACCTGACACTATGCTGGGACAGGACGGAAGAGATGAGCAGCCTACCACTCCTGCCTCTAGAGGGCTTCCTCTCTCCACTGGTGGTGGGCATGCAGAAATGCCACCCTTGATGCTGTGACAAGTGTGTGAGAGGCCAATGGAGAACATGGTGTGAGGGAATCCAATGTTGCCCGTCGACCCGGTGCTGACCTCTTAACCACATGGGGAGAGGGTAGGGTTGTGTCCTACTCCCAGCAGCTGAAGATGGAGTCAATGCATACGTTCAGAGCCAGTTCATTCCAGATACTTAGGGAGTGCTTAAGACATTTTTAGCATGCCACAAGGCGCTAACTATGAAGAAGGCAGAAGGGGCAAAAGGGGGCCAGGAAGAAAACTGTCCTTCGGCTCCTCCCTCTCCCTAGTGCCTCCCTCTTGCTCGAATTTGCCCACCATGTGTAAGTCATTCAATCTCTGTGCTCCCTAAACTCCCACTGACTCTGCTTCCAAGGAAGGGTTTCCAATGTCACCACCACAGGGCGGGGGTCACACACAGCACTTCATGGCTCAAAGATGCCTGACCAGACATCTCTGTGGCTTTGCCGCCACCTACAGAGACGCCTAGCTGGCAGGCCAGACTCCTTTGAGCTGACTTTGTGAAGATCTATAGCAATGGCCGTGGCAAAAGGCCATGTAGAATTTATAACTGTGGCCCTCCAGATGGCCAGGTACATAATGTGATGCGGACTACATCCTCACGTGGAAGCAACAAAGGGGGAAAGGAGGTAATAATGAGGAAGGGTGGAAAGAAGCTTTAAAAAACCAAACAAAAACCACTGGCTTTAGGCATGACGGGGGGGGGGGCGGTGGCTGACAAGACAACCCTTTGCCCTGGGTGGTATTTCGCTCTTAGCTAGGTTTCATTCCTGGGGTACAAGGCCCCAGCAACCCGTCCTATGGCTCTTCTGAGAGTATGTGAGGAAGGGTGGAGCCAACTTGCTCTTCACTCGTTCCTCTGTTCGTGAAGATCCTTACACTAGTTCTCCTCAAAAAGCCCAGCACCTTTACCACTTGTGAATACGTTCCCTTGTGCCTTTGCTGCCTGTGTCTCCAAGTACGTGCAAACCTCTAGAAGGTGGGGCCTGCGTGCCACTGTTATATTCCCAGACTGGGCACTGTGGTCTCAAGGTGCTGCTCCAGTGGGACGTGCAGAAGGAATGAACAGCACTGCGTACACAAGTTCTCTCCAGGGCCGTTTACACCAACGAAAGCGAAGTGCCTATCGACACAGCTGGCAAGGGAAATGATAGCACTCAGGAGAATCCACTTGATGTCTAACTTTGGAAGTATCTCCAAAGTAAATATTTATATGATAAAGGAAAAGAATTAAAAAAGTACTTAGAGGGGACAAGGATTTATTTCTAAAAAGAGGGGGGAAAGGGTGTATGCTTAATTTAAAAAATATTTTATTATTTTTACCTTCTGTGTATGAGTGTATTGCCTGCATGTATGTTAGAGCACTGTGTCATGTAATGTCTGTGGAGGCCTGAAGAGGGTGTCAGATCCCCTGGAATGGGAGTTATAGTTATCAGCCAACATGTGGGTGCTGGGACTCAAACCTGGGTCCTCTGCAAGAGCAGCCAGTGCTCCAAACTGCTGAGCCATCTCTCCAGTCCCTGCTTTCATTATTTTTAAAGGAGTCCACAGCATCTGCAGGTGTCCCTGTCCTGAGATGAAGCTAGAAAGTGGGATGCAGCAGGAAGGGGGTTTCTTGCATAATTTTTTTAAGGACAAGGTAAAGCATTGGTAAAGTGCTTACTTTGCAAGCATGAGGTCCCACGTTAGAGCCCCAGAACCCCCTTTTTTTTAAAAAAAGGTGGCTATATATGGTGGTACACACTTATAATTCTAGCCCTAGGGAGAAGACAGGAGGATTCCTTGGAGCTCCCTGGCCAGCCAGCCGAGACTACTTGGTGACCGCTTAGTCTAATGAGATAGCATGTCTCAAAAAACAAGGTGGGCAGCAGCCAAGAAATAGCCGAGGGTGTCCTCTGGCCTTCACATATGTGCATGCACACACGCACGCACAAACTCACACAGACAACCATACCAATTTTTAAAAAACAATAATGTATCGCTTCTTAAAAAACACTCAAAATTTAAAACAAAATGTGAAAAACGGTGATTAAAGTGCATTTTAACTTTCAGTCCTAAATTATGGCTTTCAAAAATGCCTCAAATCCTTTGTGAAGGAAGCCAAGAAAACAATTTTGACTGCTATCTTGATCTGAAGGTTGTGTTACAACAACAACGACAGTATGAAATCTGTGGTTAGTGTAAAGGTTGCTCTTAAGGAAAAGTCCTCCAAGCCCATGCACTAACCACACACAACGACCTTCTACACCATCACTGTGGTTAGGTATGGTGGGGGTGGAGGGCTTTAGCTGTACTGATGGAAAACCCTAAGAATTAAGAGTTTCTTTGTGGTTATCTGCACATGCATTCTTAGGGAATAATAAGAAACCAAGAATACAAAACATTATGTATTAGAAATTTATATTCCCCCCCCCCCCCCCCCCAAGAAAACCACACAAAAAAAAAAAAAAACAAAAAAAAAAAAAAATTGTTTTTTAAAAATTTTTACCCCCCCCCCCCCCCCAGTGACTAAGCCTAGGAAAAAAACCACAGGGAAAAAAATAAATTGACCAACTCTTTATAACTTACTTCCCTGGAAAAAGTTAACTAAAAAACTACCCATCAGTTGTCTTAAATGACAAGGGCCTGGGAGCTGCAGGGTAGCCCTCTGAAGACTCGGAGAGGGGCAGAGAGAAGGAGACCCATCTCAAGAGCTGGCAATCTTTAGCAAGCGTTCTCTCAAGCACAGAACAGTTTCTTTCCCTAGAAATTTCAAAGGAGGAACATCTGTTCCAGCAAACATTTTAAAGGACCTTGCTCTATGACAGGGGTGAGTTACATGACTTCAGTCTTGGGATTCTCGAATCTTTCAGTATTTGTTTTCCAAACAAACATCTATTTAATTTCTTTTTTTAAACAAAAAGGCTCTTTCCCCTGCTAGTACATATGTAAACCCCATCCAGAATTTGTAAGCAGTGAGACAGAGGCAGCCGAGGTCTATCCTTTCATTATGCAAAAGGGACTTCTTTAAGCACGTAACTGTAATTAATACTAGCTTTGACAAAAAAGAGCACTTAACTCCTTACAGCGCCTTTGCTGCTGAGAGATGCTCAGGGCCCACTGTAACCCCAGCTGTTGAAGATGACCTCAGAAACAATTCTTCCTCGGTATAGAAACACACTATCTTGACTTTTCACCCCTTCACAAAGATTTCCATAAAAGACAAGATCTTGTCTGTTTACTGATGTATCACCTGTCTCTCCTTATAGGGGTAAGCTTCTTAGGGAGAGAGGGCCCTTCAGACACCACAGCAGGATGCAGGAGCAGTACAGGCCACACTAGCTGACATGAGCCCTGACAGGCTCTGCAGTTGTGTCCTAGGGGCCCTGAGCAGAGGCTGCCCACTGGGAAGCCAGCAGGGTCTCCTCTTCTTTCCTCAAAGCCGGCCAGCCTACAGATGGGGCTTCCATGAGTCCCACATGCACCCAGGTTGTGTTAACTAACAAGAACATAACTTTCTTGCTTCGTCATCTCGCATTAATTCTGACAGGCTCACTCCACTGCGTGTTGCTTCTCTCTCCTCCTCCACAGAAAGAAACATTTTCTCTGAAAGTAATGCTAACGCAAATCTGCTGCTGACTTGCTCAATACACTGGAAAATCCAATTAAAATAACGAGCCAGCTTCCAGCAGTTAAGTCGGCAATTCCCTGGTATAAATTAGGTTTTCTGTCTTGAGAGTTAACTCCTTCATACCCTGGACAGCTACAAATACCCTGAAGCTACTTAAAATGGGTGTCTGGAGATCGTCATATTAAGTGAAATGAGCCAGACTCAGAAAGACAAATATTGTGTCTTCTCTCATATGTGAAAACTAGATTTAAGTATACACACACACAATATGTGTAGTAGGACTTGGA